ACTTAGCTGGACTAGTGGAGTCCGGGCCTGGGGCTTGTCGTCTCACAGAGCTGACTGCCCGGCTTGGGCTCGCCTGCCCGGTGCTCCAGTCTGCCTCACTTTCCTTCCTGCCTCTTCCTTTACCCCTCCAGGTACCCAGAGAGGAAGGTCTGCTAAGGGTTATGAAACATCAAAAGCAAAGGGCACGACAGATCACCAGCTGGTACCAGGAAGAGTCCCTTTAAGTCTTCTCAGTTCTGGGTTTTAATTCTGCACCATTGGCATCGGGTTAGCTGCCAAGGGGCGGTACGGCGGGAAGCTTGACATTGAGTTACCAATTCTCTTGTATGGATGAAAAAAGAATCCATCCTCAAATAGCAATTTTTTTTTTTTATAAGTTCTCCTCCTGGGAGAAAAATAGTCTCACGACTTCACTTTCTTGGAAGGAAGTATTAGGCCAAGGAGCGCATCCCCGGGGAATAGTCCAAAGCTGGGCCTGTGTCTGCCCCTCGGTCCCCTGCGTTCCTGGGAGGAAATGGAGAAGCAGAGTCCTCCGGAGTCTCTGCTCGAGAGATCTTGGATGGAGAGCAGAGTGAGCCCTAGAAAGCGGCGGGAACTGACGGCTGCCCCAACCTTCCTACTTGCTGTGACTTATCTTGGTGGCTTCAAACCCAGAGCGTTTCTTTCTTTTAGGTGGAAATATTTATTTTTTGTAAGTTATACCATTCTTTCACATTAGATAAACCAAGTTTTTTTGGGAGGGATCTTTTTGTAATGACTTACACTGGAAACATGAATATTTGCAGTAAAAAAAATATATTTTATTTCTTTCTAAATGACTGTTCCATTTTTAGGGGGGCATCAGCAAAGGTTCCAGCCCTCTGGTGGGGTCAGGAGGCAGCATCCTCCCGTGGGCTTCTTTCCCTTTGACAAGTGTGCTGCCTCCAGCGAGAGCTGTTGCCAGTAACCGGGAGTGTAAAGGTCGAGGGTCAGGTGGGGCTTAGTGGGGAGACAGCGCACTGGCAAGGTGGACAAAGCCAAGGCCTCGGGGTCAGATAGACCTAGGCTGGCGTCCTGTTCTTGCCCTTTGCTGGCCATGCAACCCTTGTCACTTAGCCTTGGTGCCTCAGTTGCTCTGTTTGTAAAAGCAGGCTGATCCTACCGAGCCCCTGGGTTATTACAAAATTGAGCAGTGATGTGTGTGGTACATGTAGCCTAGGTCCGGTTCTAGGACAAAGGTGAGTCACAAATCACTTGTGCCCAGAATGACTTTGAAGTCCCTTTGCATCAGGATAGGTGAGGCTGTGCCTCATCACCAGGTGGCCATTCAAGTCTTGGGAGATGAACACGGGTTTGCTTCTCACTCACGCAGTTCTTGGTGAGGGTCAGGTGCCTCTAGGGCAGCTGCTTTCCCCGGGGCCACCAATCCAGACTACACTGGTCTTTTGACGTTGCCTCCTAACGGCTGGCCTGCAGGTCCCCCGCAGTGGGGGCAGGGAGAATGGGCCGCTCAGACAGGAAGTGAGGTCCACAGACCAAAAGGAGTCACGTGGCCTCAGCCAAACCACAGAGGGAGCTGGGGGTGCAGGGCAGCGTGTGGAAGGGAAGTCTTTCTCCCTATCTGAATTGTTGGGCTAAGTTATAGATAGTGGGATAGCGAGACTAACGTGTTTGATTTCTGGCTTTGAATTGGGTGAGTCTGGGTGGTGAGGAAAGCCTGTATTTGGGGAGCCACCATTTCAGCCAAACCCTAAAACCATGCACCAAGTACACACGCAGGGGGAACATTTTAGCAGTGTAAGCTTTCCCTCGAGCGCTGTTGTCCCTGATAGAAGTTGCGGACCCGTATCAGAGATGACAGAGTACGATGATGCTCAGTTAAAAGCTAGTGGTCATGACCATTGGCAGACCTGGATCTGCCACCCAGGGCGTCTTCACATTAGAAGTGAGATGTATGGCTCGGCGCCTACAGCTCAACCGGCTAAGGCGCCAGCCACGTACACCTAAGGTGGCGGGTTTGAATCCCCAGCCCGGACCCGCCAAACAACAATGACGGCTGCAACCAAGAAATAGCCGGGCATTGTGGTGGGCGCCTGTGGTCCCAGCTACTTGGGAGGCGGAGGCAGGAGACTCGCTTGAGCCCAGGAGTTGGAGGTTGCTATGAGCTGTAATGCCACGGCACTCTATCCAGGGGGACAGCTTGAGGCTCTGTCTCAAAAAAAAAAAAAAAAAAGAAGTGAGATGTATATTTCTGTCTCAGAGCCTGACTCTGAGGATTGAATCCCAGGTCAGGTCCTAAGCGAGTCTCTGAGAACTCTACCTGGTATGTGCTGGGTGGGGCAGCTGGGTGCTCCTGCCCCTAGCCAGCCCCCAACCACACTCAGTCTGTTCTCGACCTGGCAGCCATAGGCATCCCATAAAAACGCATAGCTCCTGCATCACATCCCCTATGTCCCTGCCTCACAGCTCTTGAATCACATCCCCCATGTCCCTGCCTCAGAGTAGCAACCAGTAATGCTACCACGGCAAGATCTGCACCGCCTGGCTTCCTGCCATCTCTGTCCCCAGCACCTTCTTCTGGCCCCATGGTCTTCATACTGCTTGTCAAGGGTCCCCCCTCTTCTCTGTTTCAGAATGGCAGCTCCGTGATTGTGGAGGTCCCGCCTTCAGAGCACAGGCACAGCACACACTGGCAACTGGCTTCCTTGCTGGGGACAGAGCCTGTGCTCAGGGTAGAATCACAGGGGCCTCTTGGTGGGAACTGGCCTTCCCAGGCTGTGGTTTCCTGTCAGTATAGCGTATAGCCAGGACTATCATTGTGAGGACAAAAGTATGTCAGGAAGGCACCCAGCACCATGCCTGGCCCTGAGGACACCTTCATACGTGGTGGTCATTCATCTGTCCTTCCCCTTCTCTACCACATAATCCACACTGGCTGAGCCTCTGAGCTGTGCTCCGTGTCAGGTGCTGGACTCCCTTGGCTCAAGGAAGAAAGGAAGCCCCTCCCTACCTTTGTCCTCACGGTGGGATTTTAGAGCAGGAGTCAGTTCTTAGCAGTGAGCTGATGGCCTAGAGCTCGAGAAGAGGCTCCATGGCCTGACGGTAAGGTCATGGGCTCTGAAGCCAGATGGCCTAGGTGGGGACACACCTGGTTACATGCTACCTCGGTTTTCTCATCTGTCCAAGGGGCTGAATGGCCTAATCATAGGACACCTATCACCCTCTTCATTAAAGGGGTCCCGGTGAGACGGTGCCTTCCTCCTCCTGACAGCGCCTTCCTTCTCCGGTTGTGAGAGTCAACTGGATGACCTGTTGCAGGTGTGTAGAGCAGCATCTGGGGCATACAGTTATGTGTTTGCAGTGACACAATGACAGTGGTGAGGATAAAGGGCCCCCTGGGGCAGCACTGGCTGAGGAAACTCTGTCTACAGCTTTGCTGGGTCTCACCTGTGTTCCACCTGCCTGCTGGGCCTTGCTGGCCAAAGCCCATGGCAAGGGGGTTAATGGCCCAGGTGGCTCTGCTGGCTGGCGCCCAGGGCACTGTGGTGTAGGCCCAATAGCAATCTTCTTAGCAGGTGTCACGGGCACTGGCTTCCACGTGTTGGCCACCCGTGGCCCATAAGCCATTCTCTGGCCAACGCTGGTCTATGAAAGAGGCTCTGGTGGCCCTGGAGCAACCCCAGCTGAGTTTGTCAAGCCCGGCAGCCTCTGCTTGTGATCTCTCTGCAGAGGAGACTGGGGGCTTGGCTCCAGGCAGAGACAAGGGCTCCGTCTGGCCCCTTCCTTTTTGCTAAAGTATGGGCATGCTCTGGTATCAGATAAACCCAGGAGTAGGTCCCCACTCTGCCATATGCTAGTGGGGGACTTTGGCAAGTCATGTCAACTCTCTGAGCCTCAGTTTCCTCCCCTGTAGAATGGGGCCAGTAAGAGGTAAGGACTGTGGGCCCAGGCTTTGGAGCATGGTTGGGGGCAGTGAGGACCCACTTTGAAGGTACCCATGTAAGCTGCTGGCCATATTTTGGCCAAAGGAGATGGAAGCTGTGATTAGGTCTAGAGTTAGATTACCCTGGGCCCAAGAGGGGATCACACATCCCTTTGACAGGATGGGCCATCAAAGTCCTGCTGACCTGGCTGGGGCACAGCAGGCCCTGTGTTCTGGAGAGCAAGTGGGTTTCCATCCCCTGACCCCTGTACCCGCACAACTGCTGCCCTAGGTTATCCATGTTAGTGGGGCCAGTTGACCAGTGATTCTCAGCCAGGTGCTTTGATCCCTGAGGGTCACAACCACAGGGGCTGTGGGGTCTGCTACTGGCACCCAGTGGCTAGAGGCCAGGGATGGTGCTGAACGTCCAGCCATGCAGAGGACAGGCCCCCACAGCAGGGAGTTATCTGGCCCCACATGTCAACAGTGTTAAGGGTGAGAAGGCTGATGTCTCACACTGCCCTTCATAGTGGTCTGTGTATGACCTTCTGTGTGGCTCTCTTAGGCTCTTTGTTCCTCTCTCTGGTTCCTGCATCTGGCTATATGAGTCCAGTGTTGGCTTTCTGACCATCGTGCCCCCTTCAGTTGGGTCTGTCCTGACCAAACAGCACCTGCAGTAGAAGTGTGAACAGAAATACTGGTGACTAGGACTCCCCCAGGAAGCTGCATGACTTGTGCCAAGTCCTGGGACCACAGAGTCCTGGTTCCTCCCACTGTTGGGAACAGGACACGCACATGATACTTGCTGGTGCCCGTACAGCACCCATGCTTGGTGAGGGGACCTGGCTGTGTGTGTCCTTGGAGCTCTTGCAGGGGTGGGGAGGTAAGGGGTGGGTGCAGGCAGTAGTTCTCAGTCCCTGTCCCTCCATTCTCCCCCACCCTCTCCATGCTGAAATCAGACACGAGAGCTTTAATGCCATGGCAGACACCTGATCAGTAGGTGCTGAGGGGACACACGAGAGACCAACTTGTGCCCTCACTGTGGTGGAGGCACAAACATGTGATAGAGCTGTATAGAATTAAGCACACACAAATGAACTCAAGTGGGAAATCTGAAGACTGGTATTATAAATTGTGTCAATTTCCATTTCCTTCCTGGCCGTGATATTGACTAGAGTTTTATAAGATGTTACCTTTGGGAGAAATGGCCTAAGGGGTTAAAGGTCTCTCTGAATTATTTCTTCTTAAGATTTGTATAGGTATCTAGAATTAGCCCAAAATAAAAGGGTGAAACTGTAAAAAAGCACATGCTGTGGCTGTCCCTAGCCCCAGGCATCTTGACTTAACGGGTGGGAGGGGAGCGTGGCAAGAGTGAGTCCAGGGGCAGCCAGGGCTGAGGGATGCTGTGACCCTGGCTCCAAGGTGGACAGTGCTGGGTGGGCCCTGGGTGTTTTGGGGTCTGATGCTCTGTTTCTCTGCCATTTTCCTCCCAGGGAGCAAAGCGGGGTGTAGACTCCACATTGTTTGGAGCCTCCCAGGCCGTCCAGGTCACTTGCGTCTCCAGGGTGCTGCAGGATGTCCAGGCAGTGGGGGTTGGTGGAGGGGCCTGGTTCAGGCCAGGCCTGACTCCTGGGCCAGCCTATAGAACAGGCCCTTCTGGGCCAGCAGCTGGGCCGGACTGCCGCTCTCTGCCACCTGCCCCTTGTCCATGACCAGTACCCTGCAGGAGAGAGAGAGGCAGGATGGCTCTTGGGCTACCAGTCCAGGCACTCGGTGGCTCTGAGATTTAGCACATCTGGGCTGAGGTTTGCGCCTCTGGAGCACCACTTTCCGTGGAAGTTTCCGACCCTGACAGCCAGGTTGGAACACTGCTGGGCATGTGTCCCTCGGGGCCCTTTCAGCTCTCCACCCTGAGCCTTGCAGCCAGGGGCAGGGGCCTTACCGCGTGCAGTCCATCACGGAGCTGAGGCGGTGGGCGATGAGCAGCACAGTGCACCGGGCAAAGCAGCGCCCGAGGGAGGCCTGCATCTGCTGCTCGGTGCCCGGGTCCACCGCTGCTGTGGCTTCGTCCAGGATGAGGATCTGGGTTTTCCGGAGAAGGGCACGTGCCAGACACAGGAGCTGCTTCTGACCCACGCTGGGAAGGAGCGGAATAGTTAGGCCAGATGTACAAGGCATGCCCACAGTGGGTTAGGGACAGCACTGTGTGTACCTCTCCATGCGTGGGGTCTGTGGTCTAGAGAGCAGGTAGGAACCCCACCCTGCCATCTTTTAGGACGCTGACTATAGGCAAATCCTCCAAATGCTTTGTGCCTCAATTTCCCTGCCTGGGACAGGGCTTTATTGCTATTCTATGGGCTTACCGTGTGCAGACACATGCTAAACAAATGCTTGTGTATATATAAACTCTATCCTCAAAATGACCACAAAGGTAGGTATTGTTCTTCTCTTCTTTAGAGAGGGGGAAACAGATGCAGAGAGGTCAAGTGGGCTTGTCCAAGGTCACAAAGTTAATGGTGGATCCAGAATTTGAACCCAGGTCCTCTGACTCCAGAATCTGGGGTCCTCATGGGCACTTCCTCACTGAGTTGTGAAAATAAGTCATATAAAAGTTTGTGCTTGTCACAGAGCAAGCCCTGGGTGGGAAGTTGCATCCCCTAATCACAGAGGGAGAAGCTGAGACTCAAGGTCACATGGCAAGTGAGACCCCTGCCCCAGCTGGGAACCAGCCCCTGGGGACCCAGCGTGGCTGGGGCTATTTCCTGCCACTCTTCTTCCTCATGTGGCAGCCCCTTCCACAAACACGTCTCTTCAGAGAATCAGAACCTACTGTGGCTGCACGGGTGTCGGAGTGCCCAGGTCTTGCCCCAGCCTCACCACTGCCAAGCTGGGTGCCCCAGAGGGACATCTCAGGCCTCAGATTCCAACTCTGTGAAATTGGATTTGTGAGACTGTGGCTCTGAGGATTAGTATTTATTGTTTCCTATATATCAGGCGCCATTTTGACAGCTTTACTCATACAACTCACTCAATCCTTGCACAGGTAGGTGGGTGCTTGTATTCTCAGTTCACAGATGAGGAAAGTGAGGCAAAGAAGATTAGATAATTAGTAACTTGCCCAAGTCCTACAGCTAGTAAGTGGGGGAAGCTGCATTTGCACTAGGCAGTCTGGAGCCCACGCAGCCACATCATCTCTCTGGTGCTGGAAACCATTACCTCCCCAGGCCCTTCTAACGCCCTTAGACGCAGATGGGTTTATGAATTCAGAACATATTGTTTTTCCAAAAGGCATATATACCTGTCACCTATAATCACAGCAGCGGTTTTCACAATAGCCAAAAGGTGGAAATAACCAAGATAGCCATCGATAGGTGAACTATGCATATAATGGAATATTATTCAGCCTTAAAAAGAAAGGAAATTCTGGGCAGTGCCTATGGCTCAGTGAGTGGGGCGCCAGCCCCATATACCGAGAGTGGTGGGTTCAAACCCAGCCCCAGCCAAACTGCAACAAAAAATAGCTGGGCGTTGTGCTGGGTGCCTGTAGTCCCAGCTACTCCGGAGGCTGAAGCAAGAGAATCACCTAAGCCTAAGAGCTGGAGGTTGCTGTGAGCTGTGATGCCACAGCACTCTCCTAAGGGCGACAGAGTGAGACTCTGTTTCTTAAAAAAAAAAAAGGAAATTCTGACTTCTGCTACAACACAGATGAGCCATGAGGACATTACACTAAGTGAAACCAGGTCACAAAAAGACAAATACTGTACAATTCGACTTATATGAGGGATGTAGAGGAGCCAAATTCAGAGACAGAAAGTAGCCAGGGGCTGGGGGAGTGGGATGAGAAGTCATTGTTTAGTGGGGACACTGTTTTTTGTTTGTTTGTTTTGAGACAGATTCTCCTTTGTGGCCCTGGGTAGAGTGCTGTGGCCTCACAGCTCACAGTAACCTCAAACTCCTGGGCTTGAGTGATCCTCTTGTCTCAGCCTCCCAAGTAGCTGGGACTACAGGCTCCCACCACCACGCCCAGCTATTTTTTAGAGACAGAGTCTCACTCTTGATCAGGCTGGTCTTGAACTCCTGAGCTCAGGTGATCCATCCACCTCAGCCTCCCAAAGTGCTGGGATTACAGGTGTGAGCCAGCACCCCCAGCTGGGGATACTGTTTTATTGCACAACAATGTAAAGAACGTACCTAAGACTAATGATCTGTGCACTTAAAAATGGTTAATTTTGGCTCGGCGCCTATAGCTCAACC